CTAGTCTGACTGTGGATTAAAATAATTTTGTAGCGGTAGACGTTATTCTACAATTCTACATTATTAATTTGCAAATAATATTTTTGTTGTGCCTAATGTTTATGAAAGTAATGATCGTTATTCCATTATGTTAATAGTACTACTAGTAATTCATACTTAATTCCATACTTTTAAATATCCTAGTAAGTAAATGACCTAGTTTCATAAAATAAAGACTATTTTACTCAAGCTTTTAATTTTTAATAAATGTAAAAATGCGTAGTTTTGCCAATACGTTTTCTTTCATAAAGCTAAGTCAGGTACCTAGTTTTGAAGATATTTCTAAACGACAAAATCTCGGGCGTCGTATACATAGACTAGTAATAGTGTATACTGCGATCACTGACCTAATTTCTTGATTTGTATATTTCGACGTTATACAGTGCACTCTGTCTTCCGCGATCACTGATCTAACTTGTTTTATAATTCTTCTACTGCTACTTTATTCTAATTAATTACATATTTGTTACTCGTTGCTGTTAATTACAATTCTCAATCCGTAAATAATTTCTTCTCTCTACCGTGTTCGTACTACTGTCCTCGTAAAATCATCGTATCCGATTGTTGTAATCGGATTACATGAACATCACTCGACCATGTATGTCCATTTGGACATATCGGAATGGCACGCTTTGACTAGCAACTTGCTGTATCTACTCTAATCCATATCTGTGCTCTGTCACGTCACATTGGTCACCCCTTCTCCGTCCGTTTCCATACCTCAGGCACTGACCAAGTTACTCTATGACTAAAGCGCTAAGCCTAGATTAGGAGGAATATAAATAAATATTGCATTTCTTTTATTTAATAACAAGTTACATTATGGGCACCTTCAAATAAAGGCGTGAGCGCTGCAATTTCGCCACTGTGTGCTGCACTTCTAGAAATTGTACGAAAACTAGTAGTTCGGCAAATCAGCGTTTCTTTACGTCTAATTTAAATGTGTCCTAAACATTTTTGAAGGTGTAACAAAAACCAGTTTTGGTTTTATCGTGCACTGACGTTTCGCATCAATCTCAAATGGCAAAAGAATAAAATATTCCACTGCGCATGAAACAAAACGTTTCACTTTCCCGCCAAGAAGCAAATGCTTAGGTTTATCAGATAAGGGAAGGTTTAAGTCCAATCCAGCGTACACATTACTTGAAATAATGATGATGATGAATGTGTACTTTTTGTGGCGTTTCTAGAAGAGCTTACATTGGCGGCTGCCATTCAGGCCCCTCTTGGGCGCGTGCCCAGGGCCCCGCGACCGAAGGGCCCCCCATCTGCTAATAAGACCTTTTGACCTGCCCAGGGCCCCTAGTAGGTTAAAGACGGCCCTGCTGCCATTGGTTGAAAATTGAAATGATGATAATGATCACATACCTTCTTAACGTGCGTGTTGACCATGGAGCGCAGATGGAAGCGCGCGGGGCACAGCGGGCAGCGCCGCAGCGGCGCCGTGTGCGCCGTCAGAGCGTGCTGGTTGCGACGGTTCACCGACACGAAGCCGCGCCCGCACGTCTATAGACACGACACACTTTCTAAAGCCTAGTCCGTGAGCACGTAGAATCCCGTCCAATGACCCCAAGCTACCCATCCTTATCGCTCGCGCGTAATTATATTGCTGTCGCGACTCTGCGACGGGCGCCCGCAGTGAGTGTGCGAGCGCGACAGCAACATAATTGCGTGCGAGCGATAAGGATGGGTAGCTTGGGGTCATTGGACAAAATTCTACGTGGTCACGGACCAGACTATAGCCAGCAACACGACACGGCACGACCCACGTGTTATGTGACGTCAACTGTTTTGACCAATCGTATCGCAGAATCGATGAAGCGCGTCTGGATTGGAGACGTTAAAAATTACCGTAATCGGGGCTCTGAGCGAGCTCTATGATCAGAACCGCGCCCGTACCTATACGTCTAGACTGCACGACACGACGACAAAACATACATTAGTTAAGGAACCAAGGTCTTATACTTAGTGGCACGTCACATGCTGACTTTATGCTTAGCGGCTGCACGTTTGCGACACGACACAGCTCTTAAGCCGCACCCGCCTCCGCGACACATGAGTTACACAGGTAGCGAACAGCGTCACCACAGATATGGATTAGAGTAGATACAGCAAGTTGCTCGTCAAAGCGTGCCATTCCGATATGTCCAAATGGACATACATGGTCGAGTGATGTTCATGTAATCCGATTACAACAATCGGTTACGATAATTTTACGAGAACAGTAGTACGAACACGGTAGAATAAGGAAATTATTTACGGATTGAGAATTGTAATTAACAGCACAAGTAACAAATAAATCAAGAAGTTAGGTCAGTGATCGCAGTTAAGTCTATGTATACGACGGCACTGGATTTTGTCGTTTAGAAATATCTTCAAAACTAGGTACTATGAAAGAAAACGTATTGGCAAAACTACGCATTTTTACATTTATTAAATACTAGCTTTCCGCCCGCGGCTTCGCCCGCGTGGAATTTTGTCTGTCACAGAAAAACTTTATCGCGCGCGTCCCTGTTTCAAAAACCGGGATAAAAACTATCCTATGTTCTTTCCCGGGACTCAAACTATCTCTATGCCAAATTTCATCAAAATCGGTTGCGAGGTTTAAGCGGGAAAGCGTAACAGACAGACAGACAGACAGACAGAGTTACTTTCGCATTTATAATATTAGTTGGGATAAAAAGCTTGAGTTAGTCTTTATTTTATGAAACTAGGTCAGGTAGGTACTAGAATATTTAAAAGTATGAAATTAGGTAAGTAGGTATGAATTATTAGTAGTACTATTTAACATAATGGAATAACGATCATTACTTTCTTAAACATCAGGCACAACAAAAATATAATTTGCAAATTAATAAGAAAATTAATAATGTAGAATAACGTCTACCGCTACAAAATTATTTCAATCCACAGTCAGACTAGCTATAAATTTAACAAAATATCAGTTTTATCGGAATTAATTAATTTTCGAATCGAGTCACACGATATCTTTCGATGACTTTGCGAATGCAGTACGATGATACGATTACTTTTACGTTGCGGCAATCACTAAAATTCGCTAAAATGACACTAATGACGTTTAAAAAGTGGCACGCTCGGCTTCATACAATTTTTGACACATGCTGCATCTATCCATATCTGTGGGCGTCACAAACTCGCATCGGCACGTCGCGTCACCATCTTGACACGAGAATAAGGCTTGATTTCCTTCTACGCTGACATTGATCGCGTACGTCAGACAAGCGTACTGTGGCGTCACAATGCTCTGCCTCACATCGTGTAGTGTTTACGCGTACGCTGATGACTGCTAAACCAGGCTTACGGAACCAAGATCAGCTCAACACTTGATTCAGATACGAGTGTAGAGTCATGCGTCATTGTGTTGTGACATAGACTATACTTATTTTGTGCATGTGGCCCTTGGCGGATTCTTTTCCAAGTGAGGGGGGGGGGGCATCTCGATAGGGGGGGGATTAGGGTCTTGGGCCGGCTTTTGCCTGCCCTGCCACCCTATAGTGACGCCACTGACTACACTATGGCGTCACAATGCTCTGCCTCCATGGTATATGTCAATCGTATGCTGCACAGACCATGGAGCGCAGATGGAAGCGCGCGGGGCACAGCGGGCAGCGCCGCAGCGGCGCCGTGTGCGCCGTCAGAGCGTGCTGGTTGCGCCGGTTCACCGACACGAAGCCGCGCCCGCACGTCTGTAGACACGACACATGTTAGTTGAAGAGCTAGTTCTATAGTCAGCGACGTACGTCCTATCATCACACGACACGCATTAGTCAGGAATGATAGAAGATAAAAGTGCCCTCAGCACGTGCTGGTTACAACCAGAGAGCAGAAATAACAGGAGTAGCAGCGCGCGTTCATTTCCATACAAAANCACTTAAGAGTCATTTACAGTAGTAAAGTTTGAAAAAGTTATTGCTGTGAAGTACAGAATCACTTTCGTGGCATCAAAAAATTCAAAACGTTAAAGCTTCCAAACGAGACTCACTATTTGACTGATTTACTGAGAATACAATCTTCACATCAAGCGCTACAATTTTTGTTTACAAAAAGTTGAAATAAGTTAGAAATATAATTTGCCACGAAGGTGACGATGAGAACCGTGGCGATGAGAAGTACCCAGTAATAGGATTCTACTGAATCCAGTATTTGAAGCTGACTGGCGAACTCCCTACGAGACAAATTAACGTTTGGGAATCTTTGGACTGTATGAAATAAATAGTGAATGGTCATCACACACGTAAATAAATTATAAGGATGATTTGGAAATTATTAATATGACAAATATTTACTTACTCATCACCGCGGTCACTTTTTATCATGAATTCATGATACAAGTTCGATAACCCGCTGAAAACCAGCTTCGTGACTTGACTTGACTACGTGTGTCTTGTCACGATTTTTGAAAAGGCGCCCCTTTTCAGCATGCAACAATAAAATTAAAATTATTAACCATAAAGTGTCCAATGTCCATGAACGTGCATGAGTAGGCATAAAAACAAACAGTGCAACATCACTAAACTTTTCAAGTTAGGTATCTCAAGAAGTTCGCGTCAGGTTTCATTAAAGTGCCACCTTTACTGATAAACTGAAATCATCATTTATCATTTTAATTTTTTCATCAATTGAAGCTTATTTTTACTTACTTGACACTGGCTATACCTACCTAATATGCCTACCATATTTAATATGTGCAAAACCGCACGAAACGATAGGTAATATTGAAAAGAAAAAAGTTAAAAGAAATAAAGCAGCGGATTTTATAAATGTACGAGCAAACAACACTGAAATTGGTCGCTTATTATCATCAACTAATCTGATATCGAAACTATTGATGACATTAGATAACAAAATGCACAATCCTATTTCCCTAACAACAATATAACATTGTACATTACCGACCTTCATGATAGTAATAAAAAGAGTCAATAAATAAATAGCTTTATCTATCTCTATGAAAAATTATACCTTACAAACAGTAACCCTTATAGTCACGCCTTCTAAATTCATTTTTAACAATTTTTAATCAGTGTATAGTCGAACTCCGCGCAGGACGGTCGCGTTCGCGTCACGAATCACGATGAGTTTCGCAAACAAAGTTGTTATTGTGACGGGCGGCAGCTCCGGCATCGGAGCCGCCACCGCCGTCAGCTTTAGCAAGGAGCAAGCCAGCGTCGTCATCGTCGGCAGGAACGAGGCCAAGCTCACGGCCGTCGCCGACCAATGCCCCGGCTCGCTCGTTATCAAAGCCGACGTGTCAAACGAGGACGACGCCAAGCGCATCATCGAGAACACGCTAGAAAAGTTCGGCAAAATAGACATCCTAATCAACAACGCCGGGATCGCCAAATTCGGCGCCATCTTGGGCGGCAAAGTGATGGACACGTACGATGAGGTGATGAACACTAATTTGCGCGCAGCTGTTCTGTTGACGACACTGGCGGCGCCGCATTTAGTCGAGACGAAAGGGAACGTTGTAAATATATCGGCCATTGGCGGTACGTACGCGCCTACTCCGCCGTTCTTAGCTTATTGTATGTCTAAGGCGGGTTTGAATCATTTTACGAAAGGCGCTGCGTTGGAGCTGGCCTCGTCAGGTGTTCGGGTGAACGCTATCAGTCCTGGGCCGGTGAGGACTGACATCATCGCGAACGCAGGCTTCCCTATCTCCTGGGACCACTTCGCGGCGCAGACGGCGCTGGGCCGTGTGTCGGAGCCGGATGAGGTGGCCGAGCTGGTGCTGTACTTGGCCAGCGACAAGGCCAAGGGCATCACGGGAGCCAACTACGTCACTGATAACGGCATGATGTTGAGCAAAATGTGATCTAACATTTAATTTTGTTGAGTTTGTACCTATTTGTTTTACCTCATGTTGTAAATTGAGCATGATTGAGCACGGTGCAGTTGATTGTTATTATGCATACCTATTTGATTTGTTATAAATAAAAGATGTCAATTGATCTAGCATTTATTGTGTGCGAGTATGTTTTTGTCGTGCGTTTAATCTTATGATTTATTTATACATTGATGTGTCAACGTTTGAAAATAAAAAGCTTTCAGAGAATATTTAATTTTAATTTAATTAAGTACCTAACATCACTTTTAGATCCATTTTATTATCAGGTAAACAAATAAATATTTGTTGATCCATAACGAGTTTAGTTGATGGCATGCCGTTACATTTTGTCTGTCAATAACATAAAAAAAAACAATAATAAATACAAAAGTATGCAAACAAAAACTTCGTCGAGATGCAAACCGCTATGCAAATGCATCCTACAAATGCCTTTATCAGTTGACAAAGGTCAGTCTATTTATAAACACAAATTACGTAATCTGTCTTCTCAATCATTTAAATACTTGGTAGTCAAGTTTTGTGTATTACTTTATTTTATAGTATCAGAAAACAAGTATAAAATCAAAATAAACAAACTATTTACACGATTTTCACCCCATTACTTACATTCAAATACTCTTCAGCATCTATTGTGCCCTTTACCTACTCGTAACGGCATAAATCTAAATAAAGGAAGCTTGCAATTTTTCCACTTCGAGAAAATCGGCTGTTACCGAGAAGAATTAGCTTAAGAAACTATCCCAGTATTACACCGTTATCCGCCAGAAACACTGAACCTGTGATTGCCTTGGCCTTGTCACTGGCCATGAACAGGATCAGGTCGGCCACCTCGGCCGGCTGCGACACGCGGCCCAGAGGGGTATTCACCTCCTGCGTGTCCTCGCTCGACTCGAAGGTCATCAGCATATTCGTCTCCACCGGCCCAGGGCTCACAGCGTTCACCCTCACTCCAGACGCTGCCAACTCCTTCGCACTCCCTCTCGTGAAATGATCCAACCCAGCCTTGGACGTCGCGTACGCATTGACCATGGGCATTATATGAAATTGCCCAAGCACGCTTGACACATTCACAATATTCCCCTTTGTCTTAACTAGATACGGAGCAGCAAGCATAGTCATGTGGATCACGGCCCGCAAATTGATCGAGATGTTCTTGTCGTAACTTTTCAAGATTTTCCCGTTCAAAATTGTTCCATATTCCAAGACGCCAGCGTTGTTTATCAGCACATCTAGTTTGCCAAACTTTTTTATGGTTTCGCTGATGATTCTCCTGGCGTCGTCGTCGTTGGAGACATCTGCTCGGACCACGAGTGGCGCGCTGCCAACCGCGGCACATTTGGCGGCTATGTCCTTCAGCCTGGCTTCATTTCTTCCGACTATAACCAAGCTGGCTCCTTCCTTGGCGAACTGCACCGCCGTGGCTGCCCCGATGCCGGAGCTGGCCCCCGTCACGATCACCACATTGCTCTTGAAGCTCATAGTGCGCCTGTCACGTGCATACTGCAGCTCAGTTGCAGAAACATGTATTTATAATGTATTTAATGAGCTGTTCGCTGTATGCTATACATACACTACCTACACATTATTATTCACTATCATGTCCATTTAAGTTACATTTATCTCCTGTCCGTGACTTCGTCGCAGATAAAATAAAATACGAGTAATGAAATATCACATTTATGTTTATTTAATTTTTTTATTTATCTTTATAAAAGAAACATACAGCCTTATTTCAATACTCATGTAGCTTAAGTGTAAGTTAATCATAGCGTGTATTTATTATCATTTTAAATAATCTATAAGAATTTGAAAAATGTAAAATTTTTAGTAGGTAGGCTATCCTAAGCAGTGTAATCAAAATATTTATTCAGTACATAGGCCGTTTCCAGGCCGTGTATTACGAGTACACACGTTCCAAATAAATAATAATAAAATAATACGTTTATTTCAGACCATTGTGATCCATGCAGAGTTGAGTTAGTAACAATATTATACTGAAAATCTAGGTTAGTAGTAACTACCAACCAATAGATTCTGTTTCCAACTGAAGTTCCCATTAACAGATCGACTAAAGAGAATTATTATCCACACAGAATCTAAGTGTCTGTTTTTATTGGGTTAATTACATACATACAAACAATAGGTAAGGTACCTTTAGTAATACTCGTATTTAATGGCAGGTAATTACATTTATAATCGTGTTGATAATTATCTTAGTGCATGCGTTATTGCGTATACTTTAATTTATGGATTTACACAAATGGCATGCAACTACATTATGTCCAGTATAAGGAATAGGTAGGTATATTTTATGGTATGCGAATTAAAAAAGTTAGATTTATCATAACATTACATGCAATACTTAGTGTAAAATTAATTTATTATTATTTAATCCAAAAATATTTTCGCATGGTTATAATATTATTTTATTGTACCATCATTCCATTATCTGCCACAAACACAGACCCAGTGATTCCTTTCGCCTTGTCACTGGCCACATAAAGGATCAAGTCGGCGATTTCTTCCGCCTTCGACATCCTTCCCAGAGGCGTCCTTATTCCCTGCGTTTCCTTTTCGGACTCCGTTGTAAAGCTTGTCATCATATCAGTCTCCACAGGTCCCGGGCTGATCGCGTTGACTCTCACTCCTTTGGAGGCCAGCTCCAATGCGCTGCCCCTCGTGAAGTGGTCCACTGCAGCTTTGGACACAGAATACACATTCGAGGCCACAAATATATGCTTCTGGCCAGCGATGCTGGAAACGTTTACGATGTTCCCTTTGGTCTTAACGAGGTGCGGCGCAGCCAGCATCGTCATGTGGACCACAGCTCGCAAATTGATGGGGATAATCTTGTCGAAACTTTCTAGAACCTTCCCATCCAAGATACTCCCGTATTCGGCAACGCCAGCGTTGTTGACCAGCACATCTAGTTTCCCGAACTTTTTCAATGTCTCGCTGATGATTCTTCTGGCGTCATTGTCGTTGGACACGTCCGCTTTGACCAAGAAAGGGGCGTTACCGACTCCTGCACATTTCTTAGCCACGTCCTTGAGTTTAGCTTCATTTCTCCCGACTATGACGACGTTCGCTCCCTCTTTGCAGAACGATACAGCAGTAGTCGCTCCGATGCCACTGCTAGCCCCCGTCACAAGAACCACTTTGCTCGCGAAACTCATGCTGCGATGTCACTTGAATAATAAGCCGCAGACTTCAATGTNTACAAAGTTGGTTTATTTATAACCAGAAACACATCTAGGCAGCTTTGATATATTACGTAATGTGCATATGAATGCGCAGCGTAAGTTTGTATACAGAAACTTGACTTCAAACTCACCTTTACAACAATTCGCTACTCACTGTGTTAATGATTTGTTATATTTTTTACCCATCATGGTAGTGATGATATTCTCGTTCATTCTGACTAAGCGTGACCTAACTCAATTCCGCAGACAGCTAAATTAATGATAATTACATGTAACTGGATCTAATTCACTGTGTAAACAGTTGTATTTACTACTACGTCATCTAATACTTCACGATGTTTACTTACGATGTCTTCTGTTTAGTGCATAATAATGTTGTTCGTAATACATACCTGGTACTATGAATTAACTGGTTTAATGGAATTAATTAATACCTCTTCCTCATACCTAAGTACCCTTAGTGATTTGCATAATTCAAGAGTACTTACATTAAATAGAAGTTTCTCGCAAGATAGCGCCCTAACTTAAACCGTAAAACCGTAAGGTGCTATTCATCTCAATTATCATCTTAACCACCTAATTGAATCTCTTCAATTTTATTCAGTGAAAATATCAAATTTTTATCACTTTTAAGTTAGGCGGATTTTTAAACATCATTCCGTCACAAATTAATACTGTTTTATCTTACTGGCATAAATCTAATCAGCGATACCAAACGTACTCATTATTACTTAATTGAATACAGTCAGAAATAAATGAGCTACAAATATGAGTTTTACGTAAGTGGGCATCGTGACTAGGCAGTCAGTTCTGGCATTGGGGCCACTATCGCCATAAAATTGGCTCAAGCAGGAGCTAACGTTGTCATCGTAGGAAAAAACGAAGACAGACTCAAAAATGTCATTAAGGAGATTTGGTGACGTGTCCATTGAAGCCGATACTAGAAAAATCGTTGAAAAGGCCATTGAGAAGTTTGGGAAAATTGATGTGCTTGTCATGAATGACTTTCGTAGATGTAATGTAGTTAAAAGCAGATAAAAAAGTAATTTTTCTCCTGGGGTATTAGTACTAAATTATTACTGAAAGTTTTCCACCATGTAGGTATTTATCATTGAACATAGGCAATTGTATTCTATTATACCTACACCTAAGTTTTTTTTCTAGCTCAAATAATAAGCAATTGGAATATTATTTATAAAAATTCTTCATTACTACAAAAACTCTATTATTTAAGCTATCTAAAAAACCAAGTACCAACATTGTGGCGCCAAAAATGAGAGCAATACGAAGCTTCAAACTCTCAGAGAGCCAAAAACAGCCGTGCGGCTTGCAAAGGTTGTTCTCACCGTAAGGTTAGCGCTCCAACTTCTTAAGCTTATAAAAAGGCGAAGGAACGTCCATTTAAATCAAACTTGTAATAGTGGTTTCATGTGTTCCTTGACAATGGATTTGGCTTAGAAAAAAGTTATATGAAAACTTAAAATTCCTTTAAAATTGCGATTAATTGACTCACGAAATAGCGTACATATTATTTTTCGGGTGTCCCCTATTTCGTGACACTACCGATTCAAGGATATTATGGATAACATTTTGATGCTTGGTTTTTAAATAATTATTTATGATAATTTAAATGTAAGTTATGAAACAAATAATTCATTTATTTAAGTTTCTCATGACCTAAATTCGGTATATGTTTCGTTCACTAGAATTTATATGACACGAGTTTGAAGTTCACATATATGACCAATTTTAAGATAAATTAGCATAAGTAGTACCAGCATTTTGGTTTTATTTCGATTTGTTTTATTTATCTTTGTTTATTTGTATTGTATATGGGATAGATAATAGTTAATTGACACATTTTGACAATAATTTATGAATTTTACTTGGGGAATTTGGAATAATCAGTATCACGAAACAAGGAACCGTATTATTGTTACTTTTTTCCAAGTTCGTGATATATAAATGTATGGTGTGAGGTACTTTTATGACACATACCATTAAAGAAATCGTCATATTTTTTAGTTTTTAATACTAACCTACCTTAGAAATTAATTAATTACTTACTTTTTATTATGAGTCATTGGCGTATCTGAGGTTATTTTCAGGGGGGGGGGGCTATCCTCACTTGAAACAGCTCCAGGAGTGGGATTATGGGGAGAAGGAGGGGGGTTACAAATAACAAATCAAAATTTTATGGCTACGAAGGGGGGGGGGGTAAGTGTAAATGGTAAGGTAAAATGTTAAAGTCGTAAGAGCCTTATTATACCGAAGTAGGGGGCACTTACCTTATACGTATTTAAGAACATCCATGGCGCCCTCAAGTGTTAAGATGTGACAAAAATATTAAAAAGTTAACTGTATTAATTTTGCAGAAGGTGGTTCATCATACTATGAACTTATTTCATATCATTCATTCACGTATATGAATATTATAAAACGCCTGATGTATATGTATAGAACTATGGCCAACGAATTTATTGTGATAAGTATATTTTGTTACAGTTTTGTTAATCTCATCGGCGTAAGATTTACTGATGAAATTGAGTTGGAGTGTAGTTGTAAATGTTAAAAATTTTCACTCTACTTTTTATAAAAACGAAAAATTTGCCGATTACTAGGATAGCTTCTTTTTAACTACAATCTACTACTACAATACACTACTAGACTGCATCCCACTTAACATCAGGTGCGATTGTGGTCAAATACCTGCCTTGTTATGCATAAAATCATACAATGTTGAAGACAAGATAATACTGTTACAATTTATTATTGAACCATTAAATAATACATAGTACCTACCAGTCATGCTCAAATAACACAATAATGCGTCAGACAAACACAGTGAACACTACGGTGTTTATTTGAATAAGCAACTTAAAATTTTACAATATTCTTGACTCATTATTACGTATAGCACCGTACACTATTAAACCAAGCTTATACCATTATCGGCCACAAACTCAGACCCTGTGATTCCTTTCGCCTTGTCGCTGGCCACATAAAGAATCAAGTCAGCCATCTCATCCGCCTGGGATACCCGTCCCAAGGCCGTCTTCACCTCCTGCACTCCTGCGGTGGCTCCGAAATCTTCCAGCAGTGCCGTGTCCACCGGCCCAGGGCTCACCACGTTCATCCTCACCCCGTGCACAGCCAACTCCTTCGCACCCCCTCTAGTGAAGTGACTCAACCCGGCCTTGGAAGCCGCATACCCATTCACGAACGCACCGATATGGAACTGCCCAAGAATACTCGATATGTTCACGATGTTCCCCTTAGTTTTGACCAAGTGAGGCGCGGCCAGCATCGAAGTGTGGATCATAGCCCTCAAATTCACGGCAACGCACTTGTCGAAACTTTCCAAGATTTTTCCATCTAACAGTGTTCCGAATGTCATGACGCCTGCATTATTGACTAGTACGTCTAGTTTGCCGAACTTTTTTATGGTTTCGCTGATGATTCTTCTGGCATCGTCATCGTTAGAGACATCAGCTTTGACCACGAGCGGCGCACTGCCGACCGCGGTGCATTTTGATGCCACGTCCTTCAGCTTGGCTTCATTTCTTCCGACCACGACCACTCTGGCTCCTTCCTTGGCGAACTGCACCGCCGTGGCTGCCCCGATGCCGGCGCTGGCCCCTGTCACGATCACCACCTTGCTCTTGAAGCTCATGATATGTTTGTCACGTGTACACTGCGACTCAGTCGGAGGAACATCTTTTTATAATCTTACGTCTGTTATGAGTTGTTCGCTTAAAATGTTATGGACTACCTACACATTATTATTCAATATCATGTCGTACAAAGAGAAATCGGAAATACCTACTATATGTATGTTTACGCTTCAAACTAGTCACTTGGCATCGCCACCTTTTGGGTGTTGTATTAAGCCTATCATCGCAAAAAAGTCTTTATGTCAATAAGCTAAAGTTTGTATTTAAAAGGCAAGAATCTAACCTTGCCGTGCCGTGACACAGTTACGACAGAAGTCAAAGTCAAAATTACTATTTGCCACCGTACTATTTATGAACTTAGTCTATATCTATAAACATATTATAAATGCGAAAGTGACTCTGTCTGTCTGTCTGTCTGTCTTGCTTTCACGCCTATACCACTGAATTGATTTTGATGAAATTTGGTATAGAGATAGTTTGGGTCCCGGGAAAGGGCATAGTTTTTATCCCGGTTTTTAAAACAGATAAAGTTTTTATGTGACAGACACGCGGGCGAAGCCGCGGGCGGAAAGCTAGTTATTCATATAACTAATAACTCTGTTATTTATTGAGAAGAACTTAGAGTCGATGAATTGTGATCTTTCATACAGTTTTATTAATCTCATTTATTTGCTACGTATTGTCTGTAGTCTTTGACCAGTGCATGTTGCCAGTGATGACGGATCTGAGACGTGGTCGCATGCTTTGGTCCTCATAAGAAGGCTTAAGGTCACCCAAAGGGCAATGCTCGTAGAGCTGATGGCCTCTGGGGCAGAAATTTGACATGGCCGGATGATATAATGTGGGCAGGCCCCTGACTCTCCCTGACTAGGTGTACCGACGAACTGGTGAAGGCAGTGGCGGCGTATCATGGGTTGGCACCCGGGGCGATCACCCCCCACCCCCCCCCCCCTTCACAAGTCCTATGGCACCCCCTGGTACCCCCCAGGATTTTTGGGGTTACCTCCCGATTCGACGATTGAAAAACAATCGCACCCCCACCCGCCTCGTATCATGACATANGGCACCCCCTGGTACCCCCCAGGATTTTTGGGGTTACCTCCCGATTCGACGATTGAAAAACAATCGCACCCCCACCCGCCTCGTATCATGACATAGACCGCAGATTTGCCATGTAGATGTGCCAGTGAGTACTAATCTACGCGACTTGTGCACCCCCTGATGCTTGGCACCCGGGGCGGACCGCCCCCACCGCCCCCCCCTTACGCCGCTACTGGGTGAAGGTCGCGGGAAGTGTCTGGAAGCGCGCAACGTAGGGTCGGTCCTGGTGGAAATCCTTGGGGGAGGCCTTTGTCTAGCAGTGGACGTCATTTGCTAGTTGGCTGAAATGACTCCTACTTGTATTGTTTAATTAGGTAACAAGTAAAAGTTTTTGTTTATAATAAAATTTATGCAACATTTAAAAGTTGAGCACATAACATTTTTCTCAGTGAAATATTTATACCAAGTTATCCAATAGAAATAAAAAATACAGCCAACTTTTTAGAAATAATTATAATGTCGGGAACATAAATTAAAATTACACGATTTATTTGATTACCATGAATAATAAAAATTAAATTAATTAGTATTTTCAATTAATACAAGTATGCGTCGAAAAATTACTACGAACAATGTAATTTTTTTTTTATTATGAAATCAAGAGCTAATTTTTCAAGCATCGGATAACTTTTAAGAAGAAAGTTTCACATCAACATCACAGTATACATAAAAAGTTATCGATTAAAATAAAATATTGCATATTATATTAAACCAAGCTTATACCATTATCGGCCACAAACACGGACCCTGTGACTCCCTTCGCCTTGTCGCTGGCCACATACAGAATCAAGTCAGCCAGCTCATCCGCTTGGGACACCCGTCCCAAGGCCGTCTTCACCTCCTGCACGCCCGCGGTCGCTGCGAAGTCGTCCAGCATGGCAGTATCCACCGGCCCAGGGCTCACCACGTTCATCCTCGCCCCGTGCTCAGCCAACTCCTTTGCACCCCCTCTAGTGAAGTGACTCAACCCAGCCTTAGAAGCCGCATACCCATTCATGAACGCACCGATATGGAACTGCCCAAGAATACTCGATATGTTCACGATGTTCCCCTTAGTTTTGACCAAGTGAGGCGCGGCCAGCATCGACATGTGGATCATAGCCCGCAAATTCACGGCAACGCACTTGTCGAAACTTTCCAAGATTTTCCCGTCTAAAAGTGTACCATATGCGACGACGCCTGCATTATTGACTAGCACATCTAATTTGCCGAACTTGTTTATGGTTTCGCTGATGATTCTTCTGGCGTCGTCATCGTTGGAGACATCTGCTTTGACCACGAGCGGCGCGCTGCCGACTGCGGTGCATTTTGCGGCGACTTCTTGCAGCCTGGCTTCATTTCGCCCGACCACGACCACGCTGGCTCCTTCCTTAGCGAAGTGCACCGCTGTGGCTGCCCCGATGCCAGCGCTGGCCCCCGTCACGATCACCACTTTGTTCTGGAAGCTCATATCTCGATTGCCACTCGTGTACTGGGAGCCGAATGCAGTTACATCTATTTATAATCTTCTTATCGAGCCTAATTTAAAGTTATCTAATTTATTATGCATTGTTATCCTCGTTATGGTTTTAAATATAATCAATATGTTGACTGTGTTCTCTGTTTAACGAATACATCAATAATGGTTTTGTTAGCGCATAGCGAGACAGCCGGACTACTCGTATAATTTGTATTTTTGAGTACCTACTTATTTCTGGTCATTTACAACAATATTTTATCTCATTAATCGGTTATCGCATTATACTTTACTTAAAACCTAGTTGGTATAAAATACTTCATTTTTGTTTTCTGCTTTTAGTTGGTGTCTTGGTGTTAAAATACACGTTAAAATATAAAATAATATTTAACTACCAAAATATTGTGTATCCTGTAAATTGTAACCGATAAGTGTATGTTTTAGCAAAACAGGAAAAAACTATGCAATAATAATAAATATGGCTACACACTTAGTTTCCACAAAATTAATTACAAAAAAGTCATGAAATGAATACCTACTCGTACATCATGAAAGATAGAACCTGTAAGTTATACAGCTGGATAAAGGGTTGAACTCACGATAATCTTACGTAACGTTTTTATTTTCATCAGTGGTCGGGGCCTCTCCAAAACACAAAGTCTAACCTTGACATCTACTCGTACTTTGCGTGTCTACATTATGTCTCGTACTAATATAGCCTTGACTTCCTAAAGACATCATAAAGCTATGTCTGGACGTGACCGACATACTAAAGGCTGAATTTTCTTAGCACTTGGAAGTTCATAAATAAAAAATAGTTACCATGTTAAAATATTTATTATCATATAAATAAACGATCTATTCCACTTTGATCACCTGGCTTTGATGACCCAGGTGATCAAAGTCCACTTCCAGCGACAATTTAGTGTCCTTTGATCACCCACGGATATGATACTCTGGGTGATCAAAGTGGACTCCAGTTAAATTATTATTTTAGTGTCCTTTGATCACCTACATACAAATCACACTCTTCTTAAAAGTAGGTACTTAATGTACGGACAAACATTGTTTAGGTAAGTACCTAACGCTTTAAACTATTTCATGCTATAAAAAAATTGTCTATATTAAGAAAATGTTTGTACTTACAACAATTGGACATGACGTGTCTATTCAGAGGAGGTGTGATTTGTATGTAGGTGATCAAAGGACACTAAAATAATAATTTAACTGGAGTCCACTTTGATCACCCAGAGTATCATATTCGTGGGTGATCAAAGGACACTAAATTGTCGCTGAAAGTGGACTTTGATCACCTGGGTCATCAAAGCCAGGTGATCAAAGTGGAATAGACCAAATAAACGTACGACCGTCTCATTAAAACAGTCCCTATAAAAATATGAACACTTTCTTTTGATTCATAACTTTGCAATTAATTCATATTACCTTTATCGCGCAATTCACTTCTTTATCATCACTCCATTATCAGTTACAAATACAGATCCAGTAATGCCTTTTGATTTCTGAAGAAGCCAGCTCCAACGCACATCCTTTCGTGAAATGATCCAAGCCTGCTTTGGAGGTGCAGTACGCCATAAACGGTGGAGTGATATGGATCTGTGTGCCTACCATGAGTTTACGTTAGGTGTGCTCGCTAGCGACTGCGTAAAAAAATGACATTTAAATGTACGACATATTGTGCAGCGCCCCTAGCGGCTACTTTCAAGAAATAAAATCTTCATAGAATTTTTTGACGTATTCGCTAGCGAGCTCACCTAACGTAAACTCATGGTAGGCACACTGGCCCGCAACGCTGGAAACATTCACGACATTTCCTTTATTTAGTCTTCACAAGATGAGGAGCCGCTAGCATCGTGATGTGGACCACGGCTCGCAAGTTAATTGCTATTATTTTATCAAACGACTCTAAAACTTTGCCATTCAGAAGAGTTCCGTACTGCACTATGCCCGCATAACCGCATTGTTGACCAACACATCTAGTTTGCCGAATTTTTGTAGCGTGTCGTTGACGATTCTTCTAGCATCGTCATCGTCTGCCACGTCTGCTTTGATCACAAGAGGAGCATGACCAACGGCAGCACATTGTTTGGACACATTCTTCAGTTTACTTTCGTTCCTCCCGACTATAACCACATTTGCACCTTCCTTAGAAAACAATATCGCAGTGGCCGCTCCGATTCCTGAGCTAGCCCCTGTCACAAGTACCACTTTATTCTTGAAACTCATTATAACAATTTATTCTGAGTAACTAAAGTTTTGTTCAAGCTGAATTGGTATTTATATTCCTTCAAGTGTTTATAGATATCGATGTGACTGCATGATGTTGTTAATTTGATGAGTTATATTGATGATTTGCATAACTATACTACTATATTTAGCACTATGGTGTCCACTACTTCCTATTCCATAAGTACCTCTACTTGCTCATTGATTTGTTTGTTCATAATCGACTTCTCATCTTCCTATACTTTTGGGAATGATTTCGAAGTAAATGTTTAAAAGCAAAGCTTTCTTGTTGATGAAGGAACTCTAAAAATGTCATCCCAAATACTACAAAATTAATGTTGCAATGAATTCAAATCTTCTTCACTCTACTATGTTACTACTACTACTGTGTACTACTTATTTACGAGTGCAACCTAAATTTAGACTTTGTAACCAGTTGTAAGCGGAAAAGACACTTGTATCTAAAATACATTAGGTCACAAAATGTCAAACAATACGGAATATTTACATTTTCAAACTAAAACTTATTTAGGTACATAATACGTGAGTATATGTATGTATATTTAGTACTCAAACAGTCACTACTCAAACAGTAACAGCAATATTATGTTGAGTGGATTTTATTATGTAGAAATACTGTAGGCGTAAGCCTTAGCTAGCTTTAAAACAAGTTTTAATTATGATCCCATTGAAACTAACGAACATATTTAAAATGAAACAAATTGGTTATCAAATTAATAACACAATTATATAAACTCCATATCAATTAATATATCGTTTAAGTATAATTCTTCGAAAATATTGTTCAGTAAAGTTATAAATAAATCAGACTTTCGTTAACATGTTCGTGTAGTTTACGCAATTTCGAGGTAGGAGAAATTAATTACAAGAATAATGCGCATAACGTTTATTAAAATAAAATTAATTCAAGACCAGGCCATTATCAACAACGAATACAGAACCTGTCACACCCACAGCCTTGTCACTGGCCAGAAACAGAACCAAATCTGCCACTTCTTCAGAACTAGACACCCTATTAAGAGGGATCTTATAGTTACCCTGGATATTGAACGGCGGTAATCCAGCATTTTCCCTTATATCGGTGGTTACAGGTCCTGGACTAATCACGTTCACTCTGACTCCGTGTGGTGCCAGTTCCAGCGCCGCTCCTTTGGAAAAGTGATCCAAAGCTGCTTTACTAGTGCCATACGCCGACAGGCCCACAGTCACTTTGGTCGCAGCGACACTCGAAATATTGACAATGTTACCTTTACTAGCCATCAAGTGAGCTGCAGTTAGAGTGGTCAGGTGAATCACAGGTCGCAGGTTCGTATTCACAATCTCGTCGTACGAGTCCAACATTGAGCCCCCCGTGATCGTTGCAAGACGAAGTATACCAGCGTTGTTCACGAGCACATCGATTTTGCCGTACTTCTTTATTGTTTCATCAACGATTCTTCTTGCTTCAGCTTCGACCGATATGTCTCCTTTTACCACATGGTGTCTATTTCCGTAGCTGTTGCATTTTTCGGAGACGTTCTTGAGTTTTTCCTCGTTTCTTCCCACGATGACGACACTGGCTCCCTCTTGAGCCAACTTGATGGCGGTGGCAGCTCCAATGCCAGAGCTGGCACCAGTTACGATTACCACTTTATCGGCGAAACTCATGTTTCAGCAGTTTTGTGCAGACTGTCGGCTAAATGATAGTGATTTTTATGCTATCAAATCAATCAGTTGATAAGAAATACGAGACTGTGATAACGCCGAAAAAGACAAATAAAAAATAACCAATATTTCAATATTAGGTATGTTTAAAAACGCGATTGGAAACAATATTTATCTCCAAGAAGATAATTTGAAAAAGAAAGAAAGAAAGAAAAAATATTTATTTGGTACTAAATGCTGCATGTAAAGTATTCAATATTATTACTACATATTGTTGTAATATAACATATTATTGTAATAACATGCCGTTATCTAGAACATAGTTAGAGCCGGTGATACCTACAGCTTTATCACTGGCAACAAACATAACCAAATCTGCTACTTCTTCTGATTTTGATATCCTGCTCAAAGGTATCTTGAAGTCTTTCACATTAAACTGCTCCACGGATAACCCTGCGTTTTCAATAATATCAGTGGCCACCGGGCCTGGACTGATCACGTTCACCCTGACTCCATGCTGGGCTAGTTCCAAAGCGGCTCCTCTTGAGAAGTGGTCCAACGCAGCCTTCGAGGTGCCGTAAGCAGTCATGCCTTTACCCACCTTGGTTCCAGCGACACTTGAAATGTTGACGATGTTTCCACCGCTAGCAATCAAGTGGGCTGCTGTAAGAGTGGTTAGATGGATCACAGCTCGTAGATTGGTATTTATGATCTCGTCAAATGAGTCCAACATGTTGCCTCCTGTGATTGCTGTCAGTCTAAGTATACCAGCGTTGTTGACGAGCACGTCGATTTTCCCAAACTTCTTGATGGTTTCATCGACGATTCTTCTTGCGTCAGCCTCGACGGACACATCAGCTTTAACGACGTGGTGTTTGTTGCCGAAACTGTTGCATTTGTCGGAGACATTCTTGAGTTTGTCCTCGTTTCTTCCCACGATGACGACGCTGGCCCCCGCTTCAGCGAACTTGATGGCGGTGGCAGCGCCAATGCCAGAACTGGCGCCAGTCACAATTATCACTTTCCCGGTGAAACTCATGCTTCGTTCGGCTGTGTTAAACGTTATGAGTTATGAGTCAGTAAAATGGGTAAGTATGTACGGTATCAATAAAATAAATTGATAAGGATTGCACAGCACACGTAGGATAACAAAGACAACAATTAATTAACATTACTTTGCAACTAAATATACTCGTCACTTTATTCAATCAAAACAACATGATGAGACAGAAAACCTAATCGGTGTTAATTTAATACCCAGACAGCGTCATGGTTACCTATGCAAAATACCAAACATAATATTAAAGCATTTTAGGTTTAAAGATAAAATATGTTTAAGTTAAACAAAAAATAGCGCAACAAAATATTTTATTTAAACAGGCAACCTAACTGCAATAAAACCAAGCTTAAAAATATAACACAGTTTGCATTTGATTGTATTAGTATTACCTATACAGATGTTATCCTATTGTTAATTTCTGGACAATGTATTTATTCACATTTTTTTATTTCCCACGTAACGGACTATTGTTTCTTATGTGGAAACTATGTTCTTTAAACTTAACCTCTCGAAATATTTACAAAAAAAATACCACAGTTTGTTTTAAATTTTGAAACTTAATTAAATTATGTATAAGAAAATTAAATGTACTCTAGCAAAAAATATATACAATAAATAAGCGTCCCTAGCCCTGACTTAAAAAGTACAAAGAGAAAAGAAAAGTAAGAACAAATGGAATGATCAACATAAACTGCGTTGAGTTTGTACCATACCAATGGTGTTCCATAATGAGGTTTACAAGAGGGAAACCTTTATCTAATTGGGACATGTATAGCCGGCTCCACTTGTTGGTCTCAACGTTGGTCACAACGCCAGTCGTCCAACGTGTGCATCTACAAGATAGTAGTGTCACGAACGTTGGGAAAAGCTATTACTAGATCCACACCTTGGACTAGTGGCGTTAGGACAGCTAAATCACCAACTCGGACCACAATTCCTAAGCCCATTTGAAAAGACTTGGAGAAAATCTCTGATAAGGTTTATAGTTCCACGCAAAAAGTAAATGGCCGTAGACATATGGTCTGAACTGGTGAATAGGCTAGTTTCCTAAAAAAATTTTTTTAGTCCGTCATGTTTATTATCAAAAAATATTGGACACATATATTTTTATTTGTCAATCTAACAAATAATTACATAGTTATGGTGCGTTGAAGTTCTGCGCGACGTCACAAAGTGCGGCACTTTTATGCACTCATTGACGTCACGGGCCTCTTCTTATGAATTTTGGCGCGCTTTATCTCTTTAAATTTTCATTAGTTTGAAAAAGTGAAAAATACGTGTAGAGTATTTTTTGATAAGTTAACTGACGCACCAATTAAAACTCTTGCTTTTTGACCCAGGAAACATCCCTATTACACGTCCCAACGCAACTGGTCCAACTTATGGTCTAGTAATTAACTTGTCCCAATGTTGGTGTCAATACCATTACCTAACTAGATCCACACGATGCACCAGTAGCGTCGGATCAACTCATAAAACTTATTTTTGCAAGTTCATGAGTATGCCCATTGCCATTAACCCTACCACTGCTTGGGGCCATTGAATGGTGCTGAGAAGCCAAAGTTTGGGTCAACGTGTGGAGCAAGGCTTAGTCATGGGCATGTCAATTTAAAAAAATCGAAACCTCTATTCTAGTCAATATCAAGCTTCTTGAAGGAGCCCTCGACGCTCCCAAAGATATCGGAGATGGTCTTGGGCTTGCCTGGCCGCCGCGCCTCCACCACTCGCTTCTTGTTCTCCTGCACGAAGAAGTCTTGGTTCGCCTTGAACCTGGCTTTTGTGTCATCTGAAAGATTTATTTATTTATTTACAACGACAACAACACTACACTGTCATCACAGGACATCCCACTGCGACAGCGAAGACAACACATCAACATACACAACGTCAAATACAAAGATAAAATGTTTGGTTCTTAATAATCACGAAGTTAGATAATTTAACTTCTTACGCAGCTAAAGGCTCTACTGTCCGTTCCGTAACATATAATTAAGGATAAAACAGCAAGATTTACCAATATTACTCATAGGTTCTCTTTGTATTTTTAATTTAAAACAAATAGTGTCAATTCAAGAACCTCTCTGGTACACACCAGCTACAAGCCAGGCAGCAAAATTAATGATAATTTTCATAGCTGAGACTGCTTATTGAGCTGTGCTACATGAGTTTAGTTCAATCTGAGTAAGCTTATCTCATGTCGTGGTCAGACCATGTACCTACTGTTTTGGGTCTAAGATATTTTCGAAAGATGCTACTTACTTTGACCTTGCTCAAATGATTTGAACTCTCCACCCGCATCTTTGGGCAATCCCTCCATGGGGACATACGGGTCCACAGTCTTGGAGCCGATCTGGTGGATGTGGAGCACGTCCAGGAGTGCCTTCTTGAGGAACGGCCTCAGCAGCATCATCAGCCTGTCCATAAATGAGGGCGCGTTCAGGAAGTGGAGGCCTTTTAGTTTGACCAGCATGGCTTCCTGAAAGTAAAGAAACTTAAGCATTGGAAGTCATCAAAGTTAATTATAACCGACTTTTAGGACGAAAGGCACTTCGTGTCGTATTTTGATATTGTTTTATCAATGGCACCTACGGTAATGGTACCTACTTACAACCCGGTCGAGTACTGCGCACCTGGCAGCCGTGACGTCATATCGACTCTCTGGTATGGACGGGAGAACGCGGGGAGGTGCGCGGGTAAGTGGAGGGAGAGCCGCATTCCAGCGAGGTGCGAAGATATGCTAGTTGCTCTAAAGCCCGGTCTCCGAGCTCGCACACTCACTGCGGGCGCCCGTCGCACAGTCGTAACAGCAATATAGTTAACCGCGAGCGATAAGGATGGGTAGCTTGGGGTCATTGGACAAAATTCTACGTGCTCGGCGACCAGACTATAGTTGATATGTTATAGTTTGGGTAAATTGCACAGAAGCTATATTCAGACTCACCAATCATGGATTAGCTGATATAAATCATTCATACCTGTAAATAGTACAAGAACTGTTGTACGGTCTGTATGTCCAGCTTGGTTAGATGCCCCAGGGTCATCCTGTCCAGGTCGATGACGATCACGAAGCCCGGCCACGTTCCTTCCTCGTACTGCCACAAGTCCACCACCATCAGGACAGCCCTGTAATGGAGTAAAATAAATGGCATTATAATAAGCTTCTGTCCGCGGTTTCGCTTGCGTGAATTACGGTTTTCTTTATACCAGATTTCATTTAAACCGTTTTTCTTCTTTCCATAAGCTAATATTTTTTTACAATGGGTGAAGAATCCCTTGTGGTACATCACTCACTGCTCTGTTTTGTTTTGTTTTCTATGCATACTCAGGGAGATGAATAGGCTTGGTAAAGGCGCAAGTTGGAGTCGCTACCACATAGTAGCAGCAGACGACGTGTTAGAGTTACTTTAGTTACTTTATTATGCGACCATGTGTTCAAGATAACTTTCTCTCACCTAATAGCATCAGAAAAGGTGAAGTTCTTGTAGTCGTAGTCGATAAGCCTAGCGTACAACACCGCCGACCCGTCATGAGTCCGAACCTCCAGCGGCAGTAAAAGACTGTAAAAGAAATTCAGCTTCTTTATTTCATGAGTAACATAAAATACAAGTAGACATTTTCGTGTAAGACCCCTCTGACAGCAGACTTTTAGCCGGCCGATACGGGACTATTCCCACCTCTCGTTCCCACCCCTACAACTCCTGTGTAGCCAGGATCTACAGCTTGACCGCCAGATAAAAACCCAACCAGTGAAGGTCAAGTTTGTCCCGGGGAAAGTTAAACTGTCATTGGACCCGCAACGAAATTAATCAGAAGAACATAGGAGGAGTTCGAAGTTAAGGACGATAGTTAGGCCCGATTCTTATTTGTATGAAGAATCGGCCAATACCAATGTACGCACTTTCATACAATTCCATAATGATTAACACACCAATCCTACTATCGGCCGACAAAAAGTCTGCAGCTAGGTTTAATCTACATTGAAAAGTTACGTTTTATGATAGGTAGGTGGTTTTAGCGAGCTCAAAGTACAGATATTTCCATGTTAATTTATTGTGTCTTCTACTGGTTTTGGCACGTGTAAATGACGTTAAAATGTAGGTACTAGCATAGAAAAAATATACTACTATTGCAGGCCATAAAAAGCGCAAAATGTAAATATTCAGCTGTCTTCTTGAGGCTGTCGGTCCATTGAGCAGGTGAGCGTCCAACTCTACGTTTGCTGAGATGTATTCTTCATTGAAGAACCCGTTTACTCCACCTTTCGTCGGTTTTCCGACAGTTGTGGCCAGCCCACCGGCCCATTGCTACTTAAGTTTGATAATTTTAACTAGCTATGTCAAATTGCCCATAACATGACGTATTGTATGTAAATTATAATTTTAAACTGGTTTGAACCAGACACGTGTAATTTTTTATTATTAACGGAGTATTTATAACGTAAAACGTAGATATTTATTTATTTACGGCGTTACTGATGGAATTAAACGAGAGTTTGAACTTTTAACAATGGGCTTTATTTTAAAGAATTAAAATAATACAAGAGAAATGACTGCGTAAACGTCAGAGGCGCGAGAGATCGGCCTTACCTACACAAATATGTCGCATAAACATTGCACGCGCTACCTTGCTGTGGTAATATTGTAAGGAGTTAGGGTTTCGCGTACATTTATTTCATCAGTTACTGGCTTTTGTTTTTGTCTACAAGCGTGTCTAAAACCGGTATGTTTCAACAGTAGTTTTAATGGTTTATTCAAGAGGAAAATATACTTAAAACTTACCTACTCGTGCACTGCAGCTTAGCAAAAAATTCGACTTTAAACAAATCAGGTACACCGTCTAATTGCATACAATATGCGTTTCCTTATGGGTAGTAGAACATGAAACATACGAAAAATTCTTATTTTTAAGCAACTAAGTTTTTTAAGTCTATTTTGCCACTCATAAACGACACAAATATAATATAGAAAAAGCTAGTATAATATATGTAGAAGGTAGCTTGAAGGTTAAAGTCAACAAAAAATGTCTGTCTGTTCTCATAAATGAGATCGTTACTATCGGCACAACTATCGGTTTATCCTTCAGGCATTCAATAATTAATTACGAAGGGATTTTTGTGTGAGCTCTCACCCCAAACAGTCAAACGGCAAGGTTCATTCAACTCATTTATTTCTATAAATAGCCTGTAAGGGGCTTTTTTAAAGCCTATTTACAGAAATAAATGAGTTTTTTACGAGTTCAAACCCTTCGTTCCTTGGATGAAGAGTCGGCGACCCTTTCACCTATCGTGGCTTCAAAATCTTTAAATAGTTTTCCTTTTGCAAACGTAGGTACTAAATGTAAACTTACACTGTGTTCAAGGTGTTGAGGATCCTGTCATCCACGACTCGGTCCTTGAAGAAGTTGATGAAGAGCGTCTTCAGAGTGAGGTTGAGGTCCAGCACCTCCTTCGCCACTCCGGTGCTGCGGTCGCAGCAGTGGTACGTCAGGATCAAGTCAAGATCTGGAAAATAGTGGTAAGTCATTGAAAACCCTTTCTTAACTTTGTTTTATCCTTTCCTAACCTTAGAAAGGCCAGCGCAGGCTGCTACCAACCGGTTATTGTGAAAATCATTGGGGGAGGCCTAATATGTTCAGCAGTGGACGTCCTATGGCCGAAATGATGATGATCATGATGAAGAACCTTAGAAAGAGTTGCATTTCTGACTTTTCGGCAAATTAGGCATAATTTGGAATGGTAACAACTCCCACCTCTCATTTCTTTCTACTGTAAATGCTGATAGAAGTCACTGTCTGATCGCCTATAAAATAAATTCCGCGAAGGTTAGTTTAATCCGTGGTAAATCTAAACAAGCCTGTAGAGGCTTGGCTAGGCGTGGAAATAGAGTCAAACTACAAGTGATTATTACGTCGAAACCATAAAAGTTCTCGAGTGGCGACCACGGGCCGATAGACGTAGCATGGGCAGCCTCCCACTAGGTGGACCGATGATCTGGTGAAGGTCGCTGGAAGAACCTGGATGCGGGTAGCGCAGGATCGGTCGTTAATCCTTGGGGGAGGCCTTTGTTCAGCTGTGGACGTCATTTGGCAGAAACGAACAAACCAATGTGGTATAATTTTAGTGACACTTTTATGTGAAATAGCTTTTGAGTTATGAGGGGGTCAAAGTGGCTCCAAATGTTTCGTGTAAACACAGTGTATAACACGGTGCTGCTCGCCAGTTCAGTTACTTGAACTTGGCTTGACACGCTACCGTGTGTCTAGATAGGGTAACGTAAATCGTTGTAGCTCAGTAGTAAGAGCATGTCAACGAAGGTCGAGCCAGCAACGGAACGCGATCCGTAATTGATACCTGATTATTAAACGCTACTATTACATGACGCATAGGTTCTGCGCAACGTGACGATGACTCAGAACTGGCCGTTTCCGCACTTTGTATATTTTACAATAGCACTTATTACTATAGACATAAGATACACACGCAACATGAGTGGCAAAAATTATGACGGTTGATTATGAGATGGACATTGGTCCATCTCATAATTGGTGTTTATGAAAATTATTGTAGCTTGTCGTGTTTTAAATACTCATTGACTTGAGAAACATATCAGCTTCCTTTAATCAAGTCGTCACGTTCAAATTCTTTATTTATTATGTAGGCTTTTACTTTTCAAGGTACTAGACGTGTTACGTCTTAAATAACTTGCCCTGCCACCAATTTGGGACAGCATATCGGCTGATGCTGAGAACAAGTGATGAAAGAAATTCAGTCACCTCAGTCACCATTTTATTATGATAACACAGCTTTTGCCCGCGGCTTCACCCGCGTGAAATTTAGTTTGTCACAGATCTTCATAAATTATAGCCTATATGTTATTCTGGGTTATAAACAATAATACTGTAAAGTTTTATCAAAATCCGTTCGGTAGTTTTTGCGTGAAAGAGCAACAAACATCCAGACATCCAGACATCCAAACTTTCACATTTACTCGTATAATGTTAGTAGGATTACTTGCCTCCTCCTTACGGTTCCACCATATTCCTGTGTTTTTTCTTGACTAATAAAATAACGTACCACCATTTATTTTGGTGATAGGTCTACGAACGTGGTTCGTTTAAGGCTCTTAACCTACCGGGGGCATTGGGGATTACAGGAACAATAAAAAATATAATCTGATCTGATTAGGTTACTGAAGGGAAAGTCAAACACCTGGATGCGGACAGCGCAGGACCTGGGTTTGTGAAAATCCTTGGCGGAGGCCTATGTCCAGCAGTGGACGTCATTTGGCTGAAACGAAAGAATGTAAATAATACAGACCTGTAATACTATCTGCAGGCAAGTGAGGCTGCGTGTCGAGCCAGTCTCGGAACTTCTTGATGTCGGCCATTGATATCATGGTCTTTTTGTTATACTCCTCGTCCAAGGGGAACTCGCTCACCTTCGTTGGGCTTGACATGATGATTCTGGAAGGGAGGGAAGTATCTGGAGGAATAATTCTCGTTTCAATCGGACTATGACCCGTTTGACACATTAACCTAATGTTTGGACTACTATAGTATGGACTATGAAAATTGATAAGTAATCAACCATTATATAAGATGTGATAGCAAAAGTGATAGGACTTGATAGGAATAGTATATTAGACGGAGACGATCTTCATATATTTTGTATATTGTAGTTATTTTAAAAATAATATAATCCTACGTAAACAAAATGATTTAGATTGCTGCTGATTAAAATCGAAACCTTGATTTAAATACAGTTGTAATCATGGAAATATTATTTTAAATTGCAAAAATGGTATAATTTTGGAAAAGTAGGTACCTACTATTATTCACATTATTAACATTTATGACTAGGGGAGACTGGGTACGGTTGAAACAAAGGACGGTTGAAACAGAGCAAATATCTCGTAAACGGTTCCGCGGGGAGTGAGGGGTCCTAGGGGAAAACGAAGCGGACGACAGGTCCGAACACAAATTTAGTGCCTAATAACTTCCTAACGCGTTGACATTGTGTGCAAAACGCCATATTGTTTTTTACTACCCAAAAGTAAGTATTTTTCTTCAGACATTAATGCTTATAGTACCTGTTCTTTTTATGTGAATGTATCGAGTGTGCGTTTGCGATTATAATGAAGCTTGTAGAATATGGGACAGTAACTATTTTTAATGTGTTATTATTAGTGTCGAAACTATAAAGTATATTTTACCAAAAGTGGGGCTGGGGACGGTTGAAACATTTTTTGTGGGTACGGTTGAAACATAATGTTTATTTTTTGTAGATGCCCAGAGTTTGGGTAAGGAAGATTTCCAGAGAGGAAAATGACTTGGTAAAGCATAAGAGGAGGTAAAAACTGGAGATTCACTCCGGAAAGCGGTGGAAAAGTATGGTTTGAAAAAAAAAGGCTTTAATTAAGTTTATTTAGAATGTTAATTTTATTTTATTATTAATGTTTATTTGATTTTGGAAATATCATTTAGTTTATCATATTTATGTTTTGTTTTTTTGAAATGCTTACTACTTGTCAAAGGCTAATGAATGTTTTAATAAAATTAAATACTTAGACTGATTAATGTCGTCATGTGGTGCCATAATTTTAATATTCGTAGTATTAATGATAAATAAAACACGTTTTATTAGTAATTATTGTATTATTTATATGTATTTCAACAGACCCTAATCGCTGTTTCAACCGCCCCTGGCGTGGGGACGGTTGAAACAAAATTTCTTTTTTTTTTAATTGCGTATATTTCTAAAAATAGTTACCCGGGAACTTTAATGATACAGCCATACTGTAGCTAAAACTTCAAATTTCAATTTCACGTATCGTAATCGTCACTCGGTTTATAAACAACAAAATTATAGACAATAAAAGCAAAATTGTTTCAACCGTACCCAGTCTCCCCTATAACTATGAACATGACTAGGTATACTTTACGGTAATCACAATAATTTCATAATATTCACCACATTTTGCGATACCTACCTACTTTTCTTTATGTTTATTATAATTTTGTCAAATTATGCATTCTTGTCAAAAACATTCTTTTCCTGTTAGAATACATGCATGCATAATTTATGCATGAAATTTTTAGTTCTAAAGTTTAATAAAATTCCTTTAAATAATTTTTCCTCACAAATCCGTCTGGCTAGCATAAGGAGTGTAGGACAAAGCCTCATTTGCCTCTGGTAAATTAGAGATGTTCGTGCTCCGAGGCTTCCGGCGACTGGGACCGCAATTAACTAGGACCGCGGTCCCAGTCGCCGGATCCATAAAAAATAATAATTTTCTTCCGGCGACTGGGACCACTCATAGATAACTTAAAAGAAAATATTATTCAATCCAAAATTGGTACAGTACTAAAATCCATGAGTGGTCCCAGTCGCCGGAAGAAAATTATTTAATTTTTACGCATCCGGCGACTGGGACCGCGGTCCCAGTTAATTGCNTTCCGGCGACTGGGACCACTCATAGATAACTTAAAAGAAAATATTATTCAATCCAAAATTGGTACAGTACTAAAATCCATGAGTGGTCCCAGTCGCCGGAAGAAAATTATTTAATTTTTACGCATCCGGCGACTGGGACCGCGGTCCCAGTTAATTGCGGTCCCAGTTGACGGAATCCTCCGTGCTCCTGCAGTGAACTAACGATCGCGGCGGCCTGATGATGAAGATGACGGTTGAATATAAATTAAGTGAGTTGCTGCAGTTAGGTGTTAAGAGTCTTATAATAAGCACCTAGACGTGATAACATAATTATTGCATTTTCCTGCTGACTTTGCTAACGAGCTGGTACTGAAAATAAACGGCAATTGATACTGTAGTTACGCGTGATTAGATGACTGGAACGACCTACGTCATCATTTGATGCTATTTTTTTATCATCATCATCATCTCAGCCATAGGACGTCCACTGCTGAACATAGGCCTCCCCCAATGCTTTCCATGTTGCCCGGTTGGTAGCGGCCTGCATCCAGCGCCTTCCCGCTACCTTTACGATGGTGTATTTGATAGTATACATATAATCATGAATTCATTTATAGATATAAAAATTAACATACAATAAAATTAATTTATTTATTTTATTCAGAAAACCAACAGCAATACAATATGTATAATGGGACCTTAAATTATGTATCTGCTTAAACTTGAACTAAAAACCTTTCTATAGAGTACATACATGGTAGATAAGTGTGGGAGGTTCGTTTTAATAAGACGTTTGCTTTAATTGGTTTATTGACACTTAATAATAATAGACTTATGATTGACACAAGACGACAAGTTTTCCTTCAAAATCCGACTTTTTATACACCTCACTCGTTACTAAACATTGTCAAATAAGTTAGTTAAATAGATTTCGCGACCTTGGTAAGAATCTTAACTTGGTACTAGGTTTCGAAGACTTTGTAGAAAAATATTGAATTCAATTCCAAACTAAGATTTTTTTACTATTAGAAACAACATAAACATATTTGAATATGTTGTTTCAAACTTTCATGGTCACTAACAGAATATTATTATTGACGGGATTGCTACCATGTACCTTAACTTCGAGTCTCCGATATTTCGGCACTGTTGCAAGCGCCATGATCACGGAGGATATTTATTTGAATAGGTAGGCTTACTTGTCCTTTTGTAAATACTCACATAAGTTTATACATCACCAATATGAACATTTCAGTAACATGAACACATGCGAGAGTCGAACCAGAGACTTCAGCTATAGACCGGTATGTCGGTAACTTTACTCATTTTTTTGCAAAAATGCATTAATACTGTTATAAGGTCACAATGTACATTACTGTAACCGGAATCATAATAATAGTTACAGCTTATCTTAATTAATTGAATCAAATTCAAACTTTTCTGACATTGAAATTTTAAAGAGCATCATGTTAATAAAACGTATGTTAATTAATTACTTTGCCTCCATTTAGAGGCGTTTAATACGTAAATTGTAAATAAACCAGATAGAGTAGTATAAAACTTCATAAACATACGTAACAGGCTATATTTAATATGTACCTATGTATGGTCTTTGTCAAAAACTAACTTATATGTACTCTCCAAATTAACTATTTCCGTCTTATGTATTATATAATTTGAATGGTTTTATATATGACTTACATTTTAAAAGCATGAGTATCCTACTAATAATATAATACTGTAAAGTTTCATCAAAATCCGTTCAGTAGTTTTTGCGTGAAAGCGTAACAACCATTCACACAAACTTTCGGATTTATAATATTAGTATAGATACATTTTACTGAAATTCACAAACTTTTCTCAACTTCAACACACACTGAAAAAAAAGACAATACAATATAGATTTTTTCTCAAACACCTATCCATGTTATTGTACCGTAACTCTTAGTAAATTTATTTGATTAGATTTAAAGTAAAATACAAAACTTACATCGTTGAGTCTCGTCAATAACGCCTCCACACGCGTCACTGTAACTCGAATGTCCTGTCAGTTCTGCCGCCAAGCAACACCAACTGTCTGCTATGAGTATACATAAATATAGTATAAATACATGTAGTGCTCTTGGTTTGGTATGAAAATCAGTTACTGACCGTTAATTGTGTAGTGTACTTTCAGTTTCACATAATACTATTATATTAAGATATGATGAGATAACATTATTTTATTTATTTACTTATCAAGAATATGATAAATTATTTGATTTAAAATGTAGATACACAGTTCAACATATTCAGTTATTGATTGTAGGCGTGGAAATATAGGTACTCGGTAAACTTATTGCAGTAATTAAAAGTAGGTACAAATAATTAAGGATTTTATTAATAAAAGATGATGATGCAGTGACTAAAAGAGTAAAATTAAAGAATTGGCCGCATTTCACATTACAGAAGCAGTGGGTAGCATAATGAAATTGAATACGGAATTGTAATAAAAATCGTGTTCTAGAATGGTGCTCAAATCTATTCTTGAGTATAGAATCACACTTGAGTGACTATCGCGGTTGTTTCATAGAACTTTTGAAAAATAAATGGATGCTCGGATAAATAAAAGACTTGTTTCGGTGCTTCTGACTCAGTTTCATTATTCAAATGGATTTTTTTCTCAATGTCACTCGTTGCACTCTCACACTCAATGCACCTGTGTTAGTGGCTATAGAAACCTTTGTTTCAGGTTCTATGATTCTGTCATGGTTCATCGAACTGAACAACAATGTAATGTAAAGCAGGACAATATCTCCATTTCCGAAATCAAGAATGATTCCAAGTCCTAACAAAACTGGGATTTTTCCTATGTGCTAGCTAATTATTGTTTCTTGCAACTGAAACCAATGAGTTATAATAACCAGCGGGTTAAGCAAAATATGTCACTAAAATTATAAAATAAATAAACTAAAAAGTCTTATGATAAAATTAAGGCTGGATTTAGACATTATTTATCAACATTATTTACGAAAATGTCCTATGTACAAAGGGAAAGCCTCATTTATAGGTGAATCGAATAAATAATAAGACCAACTTTCAAGTATCATTGCAGTTTGTCAAGCTCTGCGTCTCTACCGTTCAACTAACTGCAACTCACTTTGTTCTGTCTTATTGCTCTATTAAAATATGAAGGAAGTTACAGCGAACAAAAGATAGGAGATTTTTATATGACCTTATAAACAACATTTTATAATGTGTACATACAAGCAGGTTGTTAAAAAAAACTTCATTTGCGTAGTAAGATAATTAGAACCTGTAATTAATTAAAATTATCGATAAGAAAAATTAAACTACCCTTATTATAGAAATAACAATATAATGGGAAAATAATAATGTTATACATATTTATTACCTACTTATACAGTTTCCTCAAAAGAAAATATTGCAGCATATGATTTATTATTTAAAGTCACGTAACGCTGTGATTCACCGATATTACCAGACTACAATGCCAGTTGCGGTTGTTGGTTCGAATCTCGCCAGGAGCAAATGAAAGTAATTTTCTGCCGTAGCTGACATTATTCATACAAGCTTTTGTTCTAGTTTGAGGCAAAGATCTGTTGTATAGATGTACGTAGTATTTTTGGTATTGTTTTTGATCGAGTTTATAATTTTTATTAATCGTAATCATCAGAATGGAACTTTTCAAGCAACCATATTTATTTTATTTCGAATAAATATAATTAAACATTTCAATAAACAAGTTGCATGTACTTGCGATTAGTACTTTTTGGAGTAGGTATATTAAAATGAAACCGTCACAGTCATGGTCATGTTCATGTGTCTTGGTCAATAAATTTAAAATAACGCTACATTTACAGACTATCTTCTAAGTTTGCACAAATACAGAGTCTTTCACATACTCTTTGAACTTTCTGGTCTACTCTGGAATAGCTTTTTTTTCAAGTATTGATAATGATTTGTACGAAAATTGAGACAAAATACGGCAAGTGTTACTACCAAACTATTTAATGGGTAAATAAATACACATTAAGAAGTTGCTATCCTCGCTTAGGTATTCTACGAGTAGTCACGCTCCTTTAATAGTACGAAAACTCCTTTAAGTTCCCCCCTAAACTGGATATAACATAGATTTTTCTGAGGAGATATCATCTGTTACATTACCTTTCATAAACCAGCTACTTCACATGGCTACAATAGTATTACAAAAGAGACATCACACTTATTTTCACTAAAGGTTTTGAATGGTGTCTAATTTATATGGTCACTCGTATTTAACGAGAGGGTTAGCCCTTATGCACTCTCCATGCAAACCTTTCAGCTCGAAGATCCGACGTCAACTGAGTGAATGACCCATTCATTCATTGAGCAATCCATTCGCCATTCACCTCCAAGCATTTCTGTTAGTGTCGTGTAGTCTCTTCGGAAAGACCGTCGCGTCGTTAGTGAGTGATACTACGATATTCAATGGTAAGTACTCAACATTTACGTTTATTTCTTATACTAACCAAATTATTATTAACCTAATTTTAGTAATTTATTAAGTTGTGGTAAAGAGGAGAGGTACAGGTATTTGAAAAGTTGATTGTGGACGAAACCACAGCCTTGATAAGACTTAAGATGTTATGATCGCTTTTTAGACGACAGAGCTTCGAAATGTTATCTAACATAAATATAATAAGCACAAATTATAAGCTTTTCAAAGTTTTAAAGTTATGAAAATATCAGTAACTTAGAAGTACTTGTTGAAACCTATTTGAATGCCTATTATGTTCATTTATTAGTTAACCTTTATCAAATGAATAGAAAGGTCACAGCGCGCTCAAAAATTTTAATTTTAATATATTATTATTAGTGTCTCCTCATCTATGGATTTTAAAGCTTTTGTATAAAAGTTCCGTGCGTTTCATCAATCTTGAATAAATATTAGATATATTTACACACTTATTTCCAATTTTCTTACCCAAATATTTTTCTAATGTTGTGACTAAATATTTGGTAAGTTAATTTGTATTTCCTGTATCTTCAAATTGGCCGAAAAACAAGTAACCTTTGATTGTTTTAGTATAAAAAAGGAAGCTTTACACTGACTAATAAAAATATTAAACCAATTGTGAATGGCGCCAAGAAATTGTTAAAAAATAATTTAATTGCAAAACGATTCTACAATGCGGAAACGTTCGATAAAAATTAAGCCACACTAAAAGGTTGAGCATTGCAATCAAAAAAAGATTCGCCGAGTTTTTTCATTGTTTACAACGATATAAATGTCAAGGTCATAGAGGCGTCTCCACGGGTACTAATTACCTTATGAACCTTGACTTTAGACGTACTTTATCTATTGCAGACATTATAATTTATCATTGGTAAAGACAATTAGAAATGCTGTAATGTATAGAAATTCGTCGACGCGTGGAAAAGACTTCAACGCGTCAGTGGCCTTGTGAATTATGGGAATTCTTAGAGGTCATGACTTTGGTCTGATTTCAATAGCTCTCACAGAATATATTATGCAGAATATCATTTTAAAGCCCTTCTGAGTTTTATTAACTAATACAATACTTTATTTTATCTAAATTAGAGTCTTTACAATACACTCTCCAATGTGTTTGAATAAAATAATTGAACTTGTATTAGAGATATGTCATGTATTACATTTTTCACATTTGGTTTCCGTATACTATATCACCGTAAGCCACAATAGTTTCATTATAAGTTGTTACAAGCGACGACGATTACGAGAAATTAAAATTAATGCCAAAAGTCATAAAACCGAATAAAACAGTCCTCAAACGATTTTTTACTGATTATAAAAATACCTTATGTTGAGTTCGTTCTAATGTCAAGATAAAAGAACAAAAAATTCGCTCGTCTGTCCACATTCGCACTTTACCCATAACACGCCGTTACAAGGTGAGAGATTGGCCGGTTTGGTCGCATTTCTCAAAAACTTGCCTCCTCCACATATTGTCGACACATAAAAATATGTATCAACTCGTCAACGATTGTGTTCGTATACTGTCTTTTTAAGTATGTATCAAACAAAAAGGATTAATTTTACTGCTTAAATGCAACAATTTTCCTCAAGGAAGTACAAATCTTAAAAAAACATAACTTTTCCATACAAATTATCATCACTAATCAGCTAATTAGTATAGGGGACGTCAATTTGAGAATGTCGATATTATTTCTGAACTTGAGCAGTAGAATCAATCCTTTTTATTTGATCCATACTTAAAACAGACATCATGTATTTTTATGCAATCAAATAAGTGTTACTTACTCAAAAAATTAGCAGAACTTCACTGTGCCAAATATGTGCATAGATATTAAAATCCTTAACTTTCTTCTTTCAAATGAATCGATAAGCCGAACCCTTTTTTTGTTTTCAAAATCCAGGCTGTTCTTATTTAGGACTAAGTCTAAGCAAACATAGAGTCAGAAGATAAGAAAGTGGTTGTGTATAATTACCAGTAATTTCCATACCAGCGCAATGTTCTAATTTCGACACCAATCTATTTATAAAGAGCTTGTGCCTACCACTTTCAGCACACAGCCTGATTCAAACTTGCAATCGATCTCGACGAAACATAAAGAGATTTGAGCAATTTCCTATTGTATTTATTGCAATTATCAAACTAGATAGTAATTGAAAGAAAGAAAGAAAGAAAGAAAAAATATTTATTGGTGTATGTATTGGTAACAGCACAACATTGTATGTTATTGAAGCAATACATTCTGATTGGACGTGTTCGAGAACTTTTACAAGGACAGAATCTGATATATGACAACAATCGAAGCACGCAACTACCTTTCGTTACCTACACGTGGATATTATTCTCGTACTAGCTTTTGCCCGCGGCTTCACCCGCGTGAAATTTAGTTTGTCATAGATCGTCATAAATTATAGCCTATATGTTATTCTGGGTTATAAACAATAATACTGTAAAGTTTAATCAAAATCCGTTCAGTAGTTTTTGCGTGAAAAAGTAACAAACATCCAGACATCCACACAAACTTTCGCATTTATAATATTAGTAGGATTAGTAGGATATAGAGTCGCAGTGCTGTTCTGTTTATTTCTAGTATTACATAATAATCTAAATATGTAGCAAGCTGTAATTGCTCTTCTCAATGGACTAACTACCTTAAGCAAATAAGTGGCAATAATTGGATATTAAAACGAGAAATCTTGCTCCTTAGCCTCCTTACTCCTCCCCGGGAAGGGCTTTTATTTATTTTTATACAGTTAAAGAATAAAATATTATTATAATATCCTCACTGAACTAAAATTTTTCACTATTTTATGTGAATTTCTAAGCATTAGAGTCAATGAGGATTCGGTTCACACACTGGCCTACTTGGCACAGGATCTTGTCAGACGGATTACAACATTTGAATACAAAATATCTTTAATAAACCCATGAATACCATATAAATCCTAATAGAACGCATTTTTACTGGGAAGGTAAAATTTATTGTACTATGACTTTGAAGAGAAAATATATTTTTAGATTCTAAATTCTCTTTAAGTTTCCCAAAAATATACTCGGATATAGATAAATCTCCAAGCTGTGTGCAATCATCATCATCATCATTTCAGCCATAGGACGTCCACTGCTGAACATAGGCCTCCCCCAATGATTTCCACAATGGCCGGTTGTCCTGCGTGTGCACTAGTTAACGTTAAATTTAACTTAGGTAGATGCAAGCTATTGATTAAAAGACGTTTGCGCATTTGAATATTCAATAAATCAGTGCATTTGTTTCTTACAACCACATGATTATCATTCCGTTTACCATCGGCGTCGTCCACATCCTTATAGCAACCTTTCTTTAACGTTGCTCAACACGTCATGTACTTTCAATGCGAGCATGTGCAAAGTACACTTTACATATTAAAATAACCTACTCGAGTTGATTACGAATAACCGATCAAACAAGTGGTCTAGTAGTTTTGATTTTATCTTCGCCCTAATATAATAATTTAGTCCACTGCTTTGGGACACAACTAAAAATGACAGACATGACGAATCTATAAGGGTTCCGTTTTTTGCCATTTGGCTACGGAACCCTAAAAAGGATTTTGAAACCACAAGATAATAGATATCAAAACCTGAAGAAAAAGCACAGTCATTTCAAGTTTTTATCATGAATCTGAACTTCACCCAATTTTGGTTGCCTGTTCATATTATTTCATATCACAGCAGAATGTCAAAGCCAACAATGCGAAGTGTTAGTCCATCGCAACAATCTAATAACAAGCGCGAATCGCCGCTGTGCACGCGTTGCGCCACGCGTGTGCTAACGATAGCATCTATGCGTTTTGCAACGAGTTTTTGTGCCGATCCCGGAATTGGATCGATAAATCGGTATCGAAGGTTCGAGTAATAGTAGCCCGAGGCATAGACTATAATTTTAGTAGAGTTAGGCCCAGAACAGACGGTGAAACGCAACTGCAACGAAACTGCAACTTTCTGATGATTCTGATGAATGAAACTGAAACTGAAAGTTCGCGTCATGTGTGGTCTCTCAACGGACGCTATGGCAGAAACTTAGATGCAACTCAAAAGTAACTAGCAGTTGAAGTTTCGATTGCGTTTCACCGTCTGTTCTGGGCCTTAAGGAGATTCTGAGTGGGGCTAACCAGCATGTATCCAGAGACACGCTCTAGCGAACTCTTTATGAATTTGGTGCTATTTCTACAGAAAATCGACAAACACTTACGATAATTTGATAGCCTTATGCGGTGTATTTTCTATTTATGGTATTCTAAAAGAGAAGGTCGGAAGTTCGGTGCAGAATTTCTATACCTGAATCGAGATCTATTTTAATGAATTGTGCTATAGCTAGGGAGTTGAAAAAATCTCAATACGCACCTTTGTACCGCTCAGTTTCCTCGCTAATCTTTCGTAGAAGAAAAGACATAAAAAACATAAAATAAAGAGCATAAATCATACTGCATATCTAATTGATTGCAAGTCGAATTGAAAGTCGCATTATAAACCATAACACAGTCTATTATTTTTGTCTGGAATCAAGCCTATATTGTTACGTTTACGAAACATTTAACTGCATTTTAAGACTGTATTGAAATGTACATTTCTAAAATCGTTTAGGCAACTATCCTAACGTAAATGGATTTCGTGTAGTCGTGTAATTTAAATACATACAAACCAATTTAGGAAACAGTAGTAAAGCCTCGTCACTTATTAGCCTTATAAGTAGCCGGTAACTTAAAACAAAGGTCCCCCACGCGCTTCAAACAATGGGGACCTCTGCCTCTCATGTCATCTATGTAGGAGGCAACCTCTCATCCTCCCAGCCTGCCATCTATGTAGGATGCAAATCAATGAGGATGCAGCACCTGACATTGTTCACGCCTAATCGAAGATTAGTCATTGATATTTTTCGCTTGTTATGAGACGCACATAAACCATGTTCTTAATCATGCATTGTCATTGATATAT